ATTATAACTAAACAAAACAAAATTATACTGCCATTTACATTCCATGGCTTCCCACATGATAGATGAAGTTTAAAACATAGATTGAGTTGAACAATAGATATTTTCAAAAGTTATCGTGCTTACGCTACCATGCGGACTTGATAAATATACACCTTATGCCACTAAAGCCGTTTTTTATGTAAAAATAGCAATTGTTCTATTTAAATAATAATAAGTTTAACAATCATTTATCTTTCTGACAATGTAGTTTTCATATCATTTATATGTTCAATATGATTGTTAGATACGATTTCATGCGACAAAACGCTAGTAGAACATATCTTCGCGCTTTGCGCTTGAGGCATGCAATACACAAATTAATTTTGCTGAAGTATTAAAAATATAATACGTTAATAACTATAAATAATAATTTAAATTAAACCTTTTAGACCTTTTATTCCTGCGGTCACATTATATTATGTTAAGAAATAAATTGCAATTTCATTCTAACAACAGTAAGGAAAAGGAAGGTAAACTCAAAACAATAAACTGCTTTGTTTGTAAGTTGTTGATTCGTGTAAGACATAGAGTAGAATATTTTACAGAGATTACACGTATATAGAATATAATGGCGTAAGAGTGCGATTCTAGACAATTTGTTTTTCGGATCGGCAGCGAAGTCTTGTAAAGTGTAATTTGTTCGCATCAGTGTTATTCTGTGCTTCACCTAAGCGAATCTGAACCCATACTCTTTTGATGTTTAACACGTACGACGAAATAACACTTTGTTTCTTGCCGCCAGGTAGTCGTTGACGTATATATACATGTGACGTATAGATATGACTTAATATACCTTAGAGAGATCACAAATATCGTAATATTCATCATTGTGATTCTAGACAAAGCTGTTTCGGATTGGACAGAGAAGAATAGTGAAGAGTAAATTGCTCGAACATGTATTGTTCCGTTACGAAACTGAACCTACGCTCTTTTTCTATTGTACATGTTCAACGAAATAACACATTGTCTGGTACAGACAGGTATTCGTTGATATATATCTTACGTAGGCTATCTTCAGTAGCTTACTTGTGATGCCTTGTGACCTTTCGAGCCGTTGAAGTTTAAGTTGTCTCGCACCATTTGAGGAGATAATTTAACAACAATTTATTCGGGAAGCGAATTTTTTGATTTACTTAAGATTTTCTCTTCTTCTCACCTGTAACTGCTAAATGCGCTTGTTGCTCCGTCGTTTTAAGTTTTTTCCCTAGCTCTGTTACTCGTGATACGCATATTTAATTGATCTTCAAGTAAAAACTGTAAAGCCCATCTTTATAACTTCGACGTTCTTCAGGTCGAATTATTTATCTAGTTTTGACTTCCACGTTTCCAACTACTCTAATTATTGAAATTGTTCATACAAATTAGTTTGAATAGTATGTTAAAGAGGTTTCCGGAAAGGGATATTGAGAGCAGGAGAATTTCAGTTAGTGATACATTTACACTCATATCTCCTATGGGTATCATTGTAATTGTCAAGTGTACTGTTTAAGTTTGCTAGACTATAATGTATTAATTTAACAAAAAACTAGTACTTGCATTAATCTGAGCATTACTCTGCACGCTGCGTGGAGTGTAATCGAAGGTGATTCAATGTACAGCAATAGTTAACGTAGATGACTCACTAACACAATTGATATAATTTTTATATATAAAAATTACGTGTCACATTGTTAGCCAGCGATAAACTCCTAAACTACTGAACTGATTTCAATGAAATTTTGCACACTGTGTGCAGTTTGGTCCAACTTGAGAGATATGATAGTTTTTATCCCGATAAATGACCCTCAATTTTTTTTATTGCTATAATAAGGAGTTTTTTTAGGAAAGGAAATGGTCGTTTATATATATACTAGCTGACTGAAATTAGACATTATGAAGTTGGTGTATATATATATATATATATATATATATATATATATATATATATATTTATATATATTTTTATATATATATATATATATATATATATATATATACACCAACTTCGTAATGTCTAATTTCCTATACCCAATGCGCCCGCAACTTCAGTCCTAAGCGCCGCTAAGGAGGTGGTTCCAACTGCCTAGTCGATCTAGCAGTCATAAATGCGACTAATAATCATGAAGTCCTGAGATCGAATCCCAGGGTGGACCAAAAATCAGTTATTATGATGCCGTTCAAGAAATTGTCTGTGCTAAGAAATTTTCAGTAGCAGGCCGGAGTCAGGAAGTAGGACAAGTATCACCTCCGTCCCTCGGAAAGCACGTAAAGCCGTTGGTCCTGTGCCTTTTTGTCGTTTTGTCGTTCCATCGCACTATGAGAGCGGGGGAATAGAGAGTGCACCTATGGTTACGTATACATTCGGACACTATAATCATGTCCTGCACTGGTCTAGACTCGCCGTAACCTAAATACGTTCTGGAGGTAAATATTATAACTTCAAAATAAAAATATTACATCTAGTAAGAATAATTTTGATGATAATTCCGCATACTAGGGAAATTTTTTTGACAGAGTAGGAGATAATTACTTTACTAAAAATACTCACAATGATGCCTTATTTCTAGATTTAAGAACATTCTGTTTGCTGAAGACCCTTATGCAGATACTCTTAGAAACTAGGTGCGGAAAGTGCATAAGTCATTATTTATTAGACACATTACATACTCTATAACTGTAACCTGTAGCCCAGTTTTTAATATAAAACCTATAATAGGCACCAGTCTCTCACAACGCTAGGTCCTTACTATGTACATCGATATTGTTAACCAGGCAGTAAGTTGTGAAGAAATAAATAAACTGAATTGAATTGAATACTCTATAACTCAGGGCGTCCCTAACTGTACGTCGCGACGCCCTGGGGCGTCGCGGCTCTATCCCACGGGCGTCTTGAGGCGTCTACAGATTGGCTGTGTCGATGCGACCAAGTCGAATGAGCGCGACGCTCATTCTTACCCTATATAGTATATTATCTATGCTCATTCTGATTCTGTTCTATAGATCGCGGGCGGCCAGCCGGCGCCGGCGTCAACCTCCCTCCGTGTATTTACCTTTCCCCCGCGTATACCTACATATCGTTTCAGTCAGTCAAGCTTTTATTTTAATTACGCACGCGGAGTTTCAATATTGACTATTCATTCATTCATTCATTACAGCCCTTCACAAGTCCACTGCTGGACATAGGCCTCCCCCAAAGAATGCCACAAAGCACGGTCCTGAGCTACCTGCATCCATCGACTTCCTGCATGTCTTACCAGGTTTATTATTGACTATGGATAATTTTATTCAAAGAAATAGAAAACGAAATGAAGACTCAGGAGAAAGCAGTAAAGAAACTTCAGTAAAACGGAAGAAGTATAGAAAATATGACGACCAATATTTGGATTTCTGATTTAACTACATTACTAAAGGGAATGTAGAACTTCCTCAATATGTTATTTGTCATAAAGTGTTGGCAGCTGAAAGTACGAGTATGCTTCCTAATAAACTAAAATGTCATTTGGAAACAACTCACAGTGATTTACAAGGTAAGCCGAGAGACTTATTTGTTAGAAAATTGCGAGAACTAAAACATTTGTACACGGCTTTGCTTTCAAGAGCATCAGTTTCTACCAAAGCATTGCTTGCCTCCTACAAGGTAGCTCAACGTGTTGCCAAATGTAAGAAGCCACACACAATTGCTGAGGAACTGATTTTACCTGCAGCGGTTGATATGGTATCAGTGATGATTGGAGAATCGGCGGCTAAAGAAGTAAAAAATGTACCTCTTTAAACAATACAATTAGCCGCCGTATTCATGACATGGCAGAAGATATTAATGAGCAAATTGTGGAGAAACTTTCAGGCTTATTAAGTGACGAAGCTTGCGAAGTCACTTATTGATTTCACGATGTCTGTCCGTCTGTCCGTCTATCCCACGATTATCTCGAGAACGGTTTTGAATATTCAAATTCTGTTTTCAGCAATCTATTACTGGTCACCCAGGCATCTGAACCTCCTATTTTGAAACTGATTGCTCAGCGGCAACTGTTAAAAACCGCTACAAAGCTGATTGCTTCGCCACTTTGCTATGCTGTTAGCTTGCTAGGTTTATTGATTTCACGATGTCTGTCCGTCTGTCCGTCTGTCCCACGATTATCTCGAGAACGGTTTTGAATTTTCAAATTCTGTTTTTAGCAATCGATTACTGATCACCCAGGCATCTGAACCTCGTATTTTGAAACTGATTGCTCAACGGCAACCGTTAGAAACTGCTACAAAACTGATTGCTTCGCCACTTTGCTATGCTGTTAGCTTGCTAGGTTTATTTGCCATTCAACTTGATGAAGCGACGGATAATAATGACGATACTCAATTGATATGTTTAGTGCGGTACATACCAGAAACAAATGTGTGTGAGGATTTGTTATTTTGCGATCTTAAATTCATATAAGATCGAAAATAATATTAAATGGGAGAACTGTGTGGGTGTGTGTACGGATGGTGCTCGGGCGATGTCTGGACAGTATGGAGGACTACAGGCTCTCATCAAAACCAAGGCTCCAAATGTAAAATGGACACACTGTGTCATACATAGAGAGACTTTAGCTGCAAAGAAAATTACACCTGAATTAAATTTTGTGATGAATATAATTATCAAAGCGGTGAACTATATTAAAACGCGATCTGTGAAAGCGAGATTTTTCCATAAGCTTTTTGAAGAATTAGGTGCCGAGCATACTTCTTTAATTTATTATTGCAACTCTCGTTGGTTGTCCAAAGGCAATGTACTCGCACTTGTATACGAACAACGAAATGAGTTCTATACTTATCTACAGAAAGAATCACACAATGATGCGCAAAACTTTATTAATACAGAGTTTATAATAAAATTGGCATATCTCTGTGACATATTTCAAAAATTAAATGATCTTAATAAGTCCTTGCAGGGAAGTCCTCACATACTGCAACTGGCAGATAAAATCACTGGGTTTTAGAAGAAGTTGCTTTTATGTAAGAGAAAATTAGAAGAAAATTATGTGCATATTGACTGTTTCCCTGCTTTACAATGCATTCTACAAGAAAACTCGATAGAAAGCCTTGATCCCTCTCTAAAACTAATATTTACACAGCACTTGTCATCATTAAGTGAACTTTTTGAAAACTATTTTCCCGAAAATCTGGAGCAATACGACTGGGTTAGAAACCCTTTCCAGTCGACCTCACCATCAACACTTTCGACATGGGAAGAAGAACAATTAATAGAATTGTCCTGTGACTCCAGCCTTAAGCTCCAATACGACAAAAACAAACTGCATGAATTTTGGAGCTCAGTTTCTCACGAATATCGTGCCATCAGCTATACAGCATTGAGGGTTCTATTACCATTTGCGACATCGTACTTGTGCGAAACAGGCTTTTCTGCAGTTGCAGTAATAAAGAACAGGTACAGATCGAAAATAAATGTAGAGAAAGAGATGAGAGTGGCAATTGACCCACGTTTTGAGGAGCTATGCTCAGAAACGCAAGCACATCCTTCTCATTAGTAGCCAGCCAAAAAGTATCTCTTTTCATTTTTGTTCTAGTTTCTTTCTTATTATTTAATAAAAATTATAAATGTTCTTTGCAGTTTTTCTGGTATCTTGTTACTAGGCTAGAATTACAACTGGTAGGTATTTTTGGCCAGAGGAAGGGCGTCGCAAAAAAGTGTTAAATTCCCAAGGGAGTCACAGTAAATATAAGTTTGGGATGCCCTGCTATAACTTATAGAAATTATAGAACTTATACGACCGTTCTATAAGTTCTAAGTCGACGTTCTCATAAGTTGCCGAACGTTTAAACGATTTTTATAGTAAAAACTTCTTTAGAATTATGTGATTTGTAATACGATGAAACGAAAAATTGACCCTAAAAAGAGACAAAAATATACATCTATATAATTTAGCCTACGAGAGAATGAGATAGAATACAGTATACAGTGTCGGTTAAGAATATCCACTACCCCATATCTTCCCGTGGGTGCGGTAAAAGGCGACAGTGGTAAACAGGCAGGAGATGGGCAGCAGCATCTTCCTGATAACAGCAATATCACAATAAAAACCTGCGGTTGCCAACCCGCTCGCCAAGCGTGGCAACTATGGCAATATGTACCCCCCAAATGGGTAAAGTTACTAAGAGAAGGCCCCCAGTCCCCAGCGGCCCCACTGTTCCTGGCCACGGTGGCGACCATGGTAATGGCGGGGCAGGCGGTGATAAGAATCTTCGGTGGAGGTTTGTTTGCCACCAACGACGACTCGACCTGGCAACCTATAACGCATGCACCCTGAGGACTGAAGAAAAGATCCTGGAGCTGGAAGAAGAGATAGACAGGTTGCGCTGGAATATTATAGAACTATCCGAGGTCCGAAGAGAGGGGGAGGACACGGTAATCCTCGAATCCGGCAACTTGTTCTATCACCGGGAGGGCGAGCCTCTGTCACAAGGAGGTGTCGGATTTATTATCCACAAGTCTCTCGTTAACAACGTTGTAAAGATTGGGAGTGTATCGAAGAGGGTTGCGTACCTTATACTCAGAATCACCAAACGGTATTCGCTGAAGGTCATACAGGTTTACGCACCAACCACGGCATACTCCAATGAGGAGGTGGAGGAAATGTATGAGGATATCTCTAGAGCCATGCATTCCTCCAAAACCCACTATACGGTGTTAATGGGAGACTTCAATGCAAAACTAGGCACAAGAGAGAATGTTGAGCTGAAAGTAGGGACATTTGGAATAGGACAACGGAACCCAAGGGGCCAGAAGCTGGCCGACTTCATGGAGAAAGAGGGACTTTTTATAATGAACTATTTCTTCCAGAACCGGCCCCACAGTAAGTGGACCCGGTCGAGCCCCGACGGTTCGACAAAAAATGAGATTGTCTTCATTATGACGACCAGACGACAACTGTTCAGTGATGTCTCAGTGATCGCGAGGGTGAAAACTGGTAACGATCACCGAATGGTTAGAGGCACACTGAAACTAACGTTAAGTTGGAGAGGTCTCGTCTAATGAAGTCAACGCTCCGTCCCCCTCGTGCTCTAATCCAAAGTCCCGAAACCTTTCAGCTCGAGCTACGAAACCGTTTTCAGTGCCTAGAAGATTGCAATGCAGTGGATGATGTGAATCACAAGCTCGTGGAAACTGTCCATGTGGTCGGAGCTAAGTTTAGCAAGTCACACCGCAGAAGAACACAAAAACTCTCCGATCACACTCTTAATCTCATGGCTGTTAAACGGGATATGAAGCTGCAATCTTCAGTAGATTTGACAGCATACAGGAAACTGAACATCTCCAAATGCATGCGCGGGACTTACGCAACTTTAATACTGCTCGTATTGAAGAAGCGACAGAACGGAACCAAGGCTCAAAGTTTTTCCTCGAGATCTATCTGCCGGAAAGAGCCAACTGTCGAAGCTGAAGACCGAGTGTGGCAGCGTCATTTCCGGGACACTTGAGATTTTGAGTGAGATTGAGAGGTTGTATGGGCAGCTGTACACATCATCGTTGGATCCACACGCAAGTGTGAGTAACGATCCAAGAGCGAGTCTTATCCGACACTATTCCGATGATATCCCGGACGTCAGTCTGAGCGAGATTAGAATGGCTCTCCAGCACCTTAAAAACGGCAAGGCCCCAGGTGAGGATGGAATTACAGCGGAGCTTCTGAAAGCGGGTGGAAAACCGGTATTTGAAGTTCTTCAGAAGCTCTTTAATTCCTTCCTCCATGGTGGCATTACAACGAAGGCGTGGAGCAGAAGTGCGGTGGTCTTGTTCTTCAAGAAAGGCGACAACGCTCTCTTGAAGAACTACAGACCGATTTCCCTTCTGAGCCGCGTCTAGGTGCTGTTTTCGAGAGTCATTATGAATCGTCTCGCGCGCAGACTTGACAACTTCCAGCCTCCCGAACAAGCCGGTTTCCGAAAGGGCTTTAGCACCATAGACCACATACATACCCTTCGGCAAATTGTACAATATTTCAAGGAGTACAATTTGCCACTATGTCTGGCGTATGTGGACTATGTGAAAGCCTTTGATACCTTCGAAATTTGGGCGGTGCTGCAGTCCCTTCAGCGGTGCCAAGTTGACTGTTGGTATATCGAAGTGCTGAAGTGCTTGTACAGTAGGGCTACGATGGCCATGATGGTACGTGAACAGCGCGGAAGTTTTTTTATACTCTTTGTACATATATTAAAACGGATCGTAAAAACGTTTCATGCATACAGAAACCAGGCATAAAACTGAGGCACATAACGCGTCATAGCTAACCCGTGCTTTATTTTAAGATCATAATAAAATTAGAGGTAAGTTGAGATATAGTGTAGGAAACAAAGACCGATGACATAGCAACCAGGGAATTACGCGTTACACACTCGCCAATATAAATAGGGTCATCTTTAAATATCAGTCATATGTCATACGACATAATATTGATGGTCCGATACCGCAGTTGCTAAGCATTTGATGCTCGACTCCTGCACGGAACAAGTATTTTTATGGCCTTAAAATAATTAGTTCAGATTTGGATGCTTGTACTTGTGAAATTTATGTATGAAACGCCTTCACGTTACAGGAGCAAATGTATTATTTGTAGAGGTAATTTTTTTAAAGAACAAAAATATTAGTTAAATGATTTCTTGCCACACAGGTCATTGCATTTGGTTCATCATTATCATCGTCATTATCATCATTACAATACTCTTCAAATGTTAATCGTGGAACATAGGCGTTCCCTCAGGAATGCCACAAATCAGTCCTGGGTCATCTGCATCCAACGACTTCCTGCATCTCTTATCAGGTTTTCGCTCCATCTAGTGGCAGCCACTCTACACTTTACTTACTGGTACGGATGCTATTCAAATGTCAGTCCTACGAATTATAATGGCCAGTCCATTGCTACTCCAGCTACTACTACTGATCCGTTGAGCTATGTCGGTAACTCTGGTTCTACTGCGGATACCTTCATTATAAAGTCAATAATGCAGAGATAATCCGACCATACATATAGCCCTATTTATAGCTCGCTGAGTGACCTTGAGCATCCTCATACGACTAGCAGTAAGGGAGCCCGTCTCATATCCATATTTCATCACTGGCAACACGCACCGGTTGTACACTTGTACGTACTTGTATTTAGTTACATGGGACTAAATAATTATAAAGTACAAAATCTGCGGAATTCTAGAGTAAAGAGCTCGCCTGAAAATTTCACACAAAATTTCACAATAAACAAGTAAATAGTCAACTAAACAAGTCATAAGCTAATCAGCAAGCAAGTAAATTAAATAAGTAAGTAAATTCGAAAATACATAAGGAAGTTAATAGGCAAGAAAATAGTCAAGTAAGTAGTTAAGAATATTATCAAGTCGAGAGAGATATGATAAACGTAAACCAGCTAAAATCCCAAAGTAATATTTCATACGTTCTGAAATTACGCTAATTCAATGTCACCCATTAAACCGTGAACTATACAGCTTAAAAATAAATACAACTCACGAACGTTATCTTGTATCATATACATAATCTTGTCTATACTACTCGTAAGGAAAAACAAATACATTCAGAATATGACTTTGTGTGGAAAGTGCGCGAAAGATTATTTTAATACCGGTGATTACGTCACACGTGTAGGTACTATACACGATATTTTTAGAGGTCGGGGAATAAGAAAAAAATAGAATAATTTATATTATATATAGATTACGTGTAATTCTTATTGAAAGTCATCTTTTTAAATTTTGTACTGGTTCGGAAAAAAATATCTGTCCTGGGAAGAACCGGCGCGACTACGAGAAACCAAGCGCGACTTTTTGAAAGTGAAATTACATAATAAAAACATATGTTGTACAAACTACTTCCAAAACTCACTTGACACTGTTTGGACGTGATCACCTCTTTCCCAGTGGTTATTATCAACCATGGTGGTGATATACATAAAAAAGGAGCCGAAGACTTTTTTGTTACCCTACCGCGTGGACGCCTCACTTTTTAGAGCACACCAATCGTCCAGGGCTCATTAAGTAGAGTGCGAGTGCAAATATACCTAGTCAGGTCATAAGTATTGTCACACAGTAAAAACTTTTCTTTTAGAATGCTGGCCACAAAAAAGTTTATTGAATTCGAATTTCGAATTGTTCATGAAAATAAAACTGTATACTTTTTAGAATTTTACTAATTTTTAAATATGGAGTGGACGCTTAAAGAAGACCGTGTTGCAGTTATTGCGTTGCATCGTTGCGGTTACGCGCCACTTCAAATTTTTGACATACTGAAAAATTTGAATATAACCAAAAGATTCATTTATCGTACCATCAAACGATACAATGAAGACTCTAGTGTAGATGACAGGTCAAGAAGTGGTCACCCTCGGTCTGTTAGGACTCCAGCAGTGATAAAAGCTGTGAAGGCGCGAATTCAAAGAAATCCCAAACGTAAGCAGAAACTGTTGGCCCTTCAGATAGGGTTAAGCAGAACCACGGTGAAAAGGGTATTAAATGAAGACTTAGG